GAGGTAACGGCCGCCCGAGGTAACGGCCGCCCGAGGTAACGGCCGCCCGAGGTAACGGCCGCCGCGTAACGGCAGCGGCCGCCCGAGGTAACGGCTGTAACGGCTGCCCGAGGTAACGGCCGCTCCTCCTCACGCAGCGTTCAGGACAACGACGGCGAGTTCCTGCTCATAGAGGCTGCCGATTTCCTGCCCAAGTGGCTGAACCCCGAGAACAGCGACAACAGGGTGAGGAAGAAGGGCGATATTTACGTATTTATATATATTTTTTACTAATAATGTTCGTGTGGAGCCCCCAGGCCCTCCTGTGSATTCCCGTTTTTCCCCTTCTGATGAAAGCGTTGCCGCCTGCCAGGTGTTCCTCTACAAAGGAGAGCTGCACATCATCCCTCTAGCAGAGACCGAGGGGAAGGAGTGGGAGCCGCCAGTTTCCAGCCCCACCATCGCGGAGGCGTTAGCCTTCTTATCCACCCGATCGGAGGAGAGTCTGGCTGCAGCCCCCGTTAGAACAGCGCTGGATAAACGTATCAGTGGGTGCGTGTGTGGTTTGTGGTGTTCTGTAACTGCTGCTTCTCGACTTCCAGTGTTGAGAATCTTGCGCTCAATTTTTCCTGTGAACTGTGATTTAAAGATGCTTCTTTTTCTGAAGCCACTGGCCACCAGTGCACTAACAGTGACTTCCACACTCAGCACAGTGAAAGAAGCTTTGTAGCTGGGCCTATTAGTCCAGTGCACATGGATAGTTTTTTAACTCGTGTGGAATAAGGTTTCCTTAGCTGTATTTTTTTTTAAGTCTTGCTCTGACACTCCAAGCAGCAGATTAGCTGGGTTTTTACTTTATTTCCTGGTAATCACTTGGCCCTTTGTACTGATTAATATTAAAGTAGGGATAGAAAGAGTAATTAAAAACAAATGGTCTTGCTTAATACACTATATTGCTGTCTTAATTATTGTATTGTTGTATTAATACTTACTACACTAATTAATACTTACTACACTATATTGCTGTCCTGTGCTACAGTTATCCGGAGAAAATTCAGGCCTCGTTCCACCGAGCCCACTGCTACCTGCCGGCAGGCATTGTGGCAGTGCTGAAGCAGCGCCCTTCGCTGGTGGCTGCAGCAGTCCAGGCCTTTTACCTGCGAGATCCCGTGGATTTGCGAGCGTGTCGTATTTTTAAAACTTTCCCTCCGGAGGAGCGCGTGATGACTGTAGTAAGTGATGCTTCTAATGCAACGTGTTATCACTTAGTTGAGTTCTGATGCTGATGGAAGTTCAGTAGTCATGTTAGAGAAATRTGTGGATTTAATTTTTAAAATAGTGTGTTTTCTGATTTCCTCTTTTGACACGTGCTGTGAATTTCAGGTTGATTGTGTTCATAGCTCTGGTACCTTCATACTGACATGGCTAGGCTTTCAAATGGACTAAATGACAGAGAAGAAGTGACACGTCTTATTCAAACATATGTCAGCTTTTGCTCATCATCTTAAGGGTTGTCTGTAAAATGGGTGCTTTAAAGTAAAACACAGATGAGAAGGTTAGAAAGTCCATGCCAATGTAGAATGTGGTCCCACTGGAATGAGTGTTTTTTTTTTTTCTTTTATTCTATGTTTTCAGGTTACATTCACAAAGTGTTTGTATGCACAGCTAATACAGCAGAAGTTTGTTCCAGACAGACGCAGTGGATATACGCTGCCCCCACCGACTGACCCTCAGTTCAAAGCCCACGAACTGGGCATGAAGCTGGTAATTATTGTTTTGATGCATCGTGCATTTAGTCTGTTTAGTTGGTTTAGAGCGGTCAAAGAAATGACTCTGTTTTCAGATTATCTGATTTTACAAGAATACATGAGCAAATTGGCAATTACCATTTCTCTAAAAATATATTCTGGGAATATACTTTCATCAGATAGAGCTTTCTTTTTTAACCCTAGAAAATGTTCCAACTGGGATTTATGTTTAGAAATATATATTAATTACATATTTAAAGTAAATTTGCAGACAGATGAAGTGCTTTGCCACTGCTGCATTTCTGTTCTCCAAATTTTTTTTTGGTAACCTTTGTACACTAACCTTGGAAGTCAGGTAGCAGTATCTTACTTGTCTGGAAGTGGTAATGTTTCCCTCAGCAGCAATTGTGGATCATATTGATTGGGTGGTCAGCTTTGGTATCTGTTTCCTAAATGGCAGCTTCAGGAGCTCAGTGGCAGTGTATTCTTTATGTGGTTGTTAATAATGAACTTAAATCTGTCACATTCTGAGACCCTGCCTTTGTTGCCATCTCGTACAGGCTCATGGCTTTGAGATTTTGTGCTCTAAATGTAAAGTTTCCCCTGATTCCAAGGCARGCGTCTCAAGTGGTCCCTTGTGGGAGAGATTCCTCAGCAGCCTGAAGGAAAAAAACTATTTCAAGGTGAGGTTGTGTGCRTGTGTGTGTAATTGTGTAATTCACAAAAAATGCACCTTTAGCTCTCAAACGTCAGTAAGGAGGGGATATAACGCTTCTCTCTGTGGAAAGCGAATGAGTATCTCTCAGAGAAACACATAGTCATTCCGATTTGAAATTTGAATTATTTTCCTTTTGAAATTAAAAAGGAAAAAGCAGGTGTTGAGGATTAATTCCCATGCAAATTAATCAAGTGCAAAAGGAGGACCGCACTTGAAGAGAGAAAACCAAAATATGGTTTTGTATAATGGTTTTCGGTATTTTGCATTTCATTTGCATGCCATTAGAATTAAATATTCTTAAAGTTCTGTATTTAACAGCAAGTAGTCCACTTGAGCTCGTGTAGGATTCTCGGGAAAGGAAGTGTTAGGTCGTGGTGGGGAACATGCCTTTGACCAAAGTTAAAGTCTGTGGTGTGGCTACGTTAACATCTTGGAAATGTGGGGAAAAGAGATTATTTTTACAGTCCTGCAATGCAGTTTCTGAGGACAAGGCACAAAATGCAAGAGATTCACTCACAACTCCAGCGCATTGTAACCTTTCCATCAGCTCCTTAAAACACTGCTGTTGTGAGAATCAATGTTGTCTTTCCTTATTGTCAGCGTAAACCAAATGATGCTGCAATCTCTATCTCTAATTTATATCTGACTTGGAAAGCACCTTAAGCCTATTCCCAATATTATATTCCAAGTGAATTGTTTTGATTCTCACAGTGCTAAACTTCTTTGTAACGAAYAGTTGTCCTTATCCTGATTGTGAAAAGGGAGCACGATGCAGATTCATTCTTGTGGCTTGTATCAAACAGGGAGAATTGGAAGGATCTGCTAAGTATAAGGAGCTGCTGTATAAGGCAGAAGATTACTTCCAGCGCTCCATTACCAAGCCAGAAAGGTAAGAGCCACTTTAAATTCATCCTTAATTATACACAATGCCTATAAAAACTTTTCCTAAAACTTTGTTGTTTTGCTTTTCTTCCTGCTTTAAACAGAAAAGCTGCTTTCCATTGTATGTTTAACATTGATGCTTGGCTGGAGCAGACAGCTATTAATTCCTCTAGAGTATTCTCTACCAGTATAAGTTATTGGTTGAGTAACTGTTTGTCTTGGTTCTGTAAAATATTAAGGTATTCCAAATGGTTTAAGAGGTGACAGAAAAGCATTATTCATTTGGTTGGTTGGCTACTAAAATTGTTTAAAAGTCTCATTGAAAAGCAGTCTCAATGAATGATAAATACAGAGTAAATCCATTTCTGTTGATCAAAGCAGACAGCTGGCTGTAGATTTGTCCAAAAGATCAAATCCAAAAAAATAAATCAGTGTGAAAATATCCGAGTCTTTGCCAGCTTGTAATATCTGGACTGTTAGCTGCTTGAAGCCAGTTGTGCTCTTTGGAATCTAGCCATTTTGATGTTAATAAAGACAAAATTTCAAAAACAAAGGAAGCAAAGGAGAAGTGGGCTTTGTAGCTGTCAGCGAGGAATACAGTAACTAACTAGGCCTTGTTTTGGCTAATATTGTCTGCGTAGCATGCTTGTACTTCTGCAAATTTTGCTTA